TTGTTTGTTTTTTTTTAAAGGGCCAGGAGTCAGGGGTTGGGCAGGGCAGTCATGTGGTGGGGGCTGGGAGAGCAGGGTGACAGAGCAGTGGGAGCCAGTGCAGATTGCCCCCCACCCAGCAGCAGCCAGTGAGTGGGGGCTTTTTCTTCCCCAAAGAGCCAGGAGTTGAGGATGGGTGGGGCAACCATTGACAGTAGGCAGGGGATGGGGCCTGTGTGATTTGGAGATTTGGCTGTATCGGCAGCAGCTGAATCTCTGAATCAGTTTGGCCAAATTGATTCAGGACTGTGATTCGAATCACCGAATCGAATCACTGTCCCCCAAATCATCCGAATCCAAATCCAGAGTGAATGCTAGCCGCTTCGCACAGGCCTAATATATGTACTTACATGACATTCACATGCACTTCAGTAGGAAGCGAGTTTTAGTATGAAGATCAATCATGTTTAAATATCTTTTTAATGATGCCTAGTTGCACACTTTGATACCAAACAACTTTTCCTCAACATTTACCACTCTTAAAACAAAGTTTAATATGTGGTCTTCAGTTTAAGCTTTAAACATATAGTTGGGTTTTTTCACTAGAAATTAAAAATCATTTGGTAGTGTATCAATCATGACAACTCTTTATAAATATTCTTATATGAAAGAAAATACTATAAAATGACAGAGAAAGGTTAGCTTGATCCAACAAAAATCAGGAAATGCAAAAATGGACCACTGTCCTTTAACTAAATCTGTTCTGATAGATCCTTACATACCTAGCTTTTATATTTGCCAGGGGCTGCCTATATATTAGGTACTTAGTGCAGAATTTCTGTCCTGATGTGACTAAGCAATGCAGTTTGTAATTGTCACATGTATCCTACATAGTCCATGCAGCAGCTCACTGTCATCTGGAATTACAGGACATCTATTATTCTATCACTTCCAATACTGCAGCAGTGCCAGAAGCTGGATACAATTTTAAAATGAAAATGATGATTTCACATTCATTTTATACTAGTGTAACTTGCTTTGTTTCATTGGCAAATTCCTGATTTACAATGGTATAAATTATTTTAGAATTTGATTATAGTATTAACTCTGTACAGGGTTTGTTTGGGGGTTTTTCAGTTTAACAGAGACCATGGATATTTTGGAGCAACTGTGAATTTTTCTTTAGTGCAAGAAATAAAATCCAACCAATGGAAGAAAAAAAGTTACAGATGGCTGTACAATAGCTAAAACCTCTCTTTAAAAATGAACTAGGACATTTCTTCCATTCATATTACAAATTTTATTTTTACTTCTTTCTTCAAAGTATAATAAAGTGCTGTAATGAATAGTTATTATTTTCTATGATATAGCTGTTAGGACCCATTGAATTCAGCAATTAATATTCATGATTATGTTATTTTCTTGAAAATATAATTTAGATTTGCTTGTATTGTAGAGTTTATTTTCCTTATTCTTGAGAGTCAAGGGATTAAATTCATTAAGATGGAGAGTATATCTAAAGTTTAGATACAAAGCTGACCTCTAAAGGTCAAGAGTGTCCTTATGTAAGACTAGCCAATTGCCCATCAAGAATGATGGGGGGGAGGGGGCTGGGATGGAGTGCCACCACCTAACGCCCCACGCTGCCACTGTTCTGCCTAATGTAAAGAGCGGGGGGGGGCGAGCGGAGGGGGGGGAGTCAAGGCCAGCACTGCTGGCCTCATCTCCCCCACCCTCTGTTGGTCCTCAGCACAGCTTTGGAATCATGGCAGCTGTCCCCCACGCTTGGAACACTCTGTTTCTGTCAGCCAATCAGAGTTCAAATAAAGTGCGACAGACAGACAGACAGACTTAGGCTTTTATAGTATTAGAATTTTGGCTCTTAACATTTTCCTTCTTAGTTATACTCACATGCCTATACAGCATGGAGAAACAATGAATTTGTAATCCCATCAAATTAATGTATAAATCCAGAAGGGGTCACTATGAGTCTTTAAGACTGACCATAACTCAGGTGATAGAAGTTCACCCAATAATGTCAGCCTCAACTGCAATAGTTTCTTGTTAAACTTGAAAGTGGTTCCCTATTTTTAAATGAGTCATTTTTTTAAAAAATAAAGTGGAAAATGGAACCTTATTTTTATGTAGTAGAATTCACACATCTTAATAAATGATATTCACAATCTCCAAGTCATACCTGTCCATATTTGATGTTTCAATTAATATCCAGTGAAGATATGTCAGGTTAATAAATAAAGAATTAAAAGAATGAACAGCAGCAGTGTCAGATCCCCTGCTAAATGGAGAAAGTAGAAGCCAATTCTCATTTCTCCCTTACACTTAATATAAGATCCAATTCTGTCATTGCTGTTAACACAGCTTGTAGAGAGGTGTATCTGCAGTAAAGTAAGATTCAGAACCAAACCTGAATTTTCTAGTGATTTTTTCATATGCAGAAAAAAGCTCTTGCTCTTGCTAGATAGTCAAACTCATTCTGGAACTCTGCTTGTCCTCACAAGTCAAATCCAAGAATTATAAGATTCTGTAACTGAAATACCAAACTGGCAAAGAATTAGTTACCAACTTTTTTACTAGAACCCCTAAGGTACACTACTGCAGATCAAGAAATTTAATGGAATACTAAGATCCTGAAATTAATTACAGGTGGCTTTGGCCTGTTTTTTTTACACACAAATATATGCCAATTATATATCACATTTCCTAGTTCTGGTGATTGTGGGAAAACTAAGAATAAGCTTGATGGTTTTATCATCACTGTAATAGCCTTTGTAGCAAGACACACATTCTCATTATTGCCAATTGGAAAAGGACTTAATTCTATAAAACTGAGACAGAATTTGTCGTGTAAGGAACGTTTTCCCAATATAGTTTGCCTACCAAGTCTTTTGTATACAGTGAATTGTGCAATATTTACTTTAGAAAGTTCAGGCAAAAAAAAAAAAAAAGAAAAGAAAAAGCAACTGAGTGATAAACTGGTTCAATGGTTCTAAATTTAAAATAGGTAGACAGCTCTCTGGAATCTGGTACTGGAATTCTTTGTTTATTTAGGATCAGGCAATTGGAGTTCAAGATTTTTTTCTGAATTTATCTATGAAAGATTCTCAGTATTTGAATCATTAAACCTTGGTAAGGGCGTACTTGGTAGCCGTGTTGGTCTGAGACAAAAAGACATACAAAAAACTAGAACTCTTGATTCCAAAATGATACCTCTTTGTAGACCAACTGGAAAATGACAAGAAAACTGTCCTTTTCTGCAAGCTTTTGGGATCAAAGTCCCTTCATCAGGCTCTGGGAAGGTGTAGATGGTACAAGATGATAAAAAAGTCCACATAGGTAGGAAATAAACTTCATAAACCCAAGGCTCTAAATGAACCCAGAGCCTCATGAAGGGACTTTGATCCCGAAAGCTTGCAGAAAAGGACAGTTTTCTTGCCATTTTCCAGTTGGTCTAATAAAGGGTATCGTTTTGGAACCAAGAGTTCTAGTTTTTTGTAAACCTTGGTAACTCATTTCACAGCATCTTTTAGACAGATAATGGAGGATTTTAGTCTGTCAGCCTGCCTGCATTTTCTCAAGCTACATGTGATAAGGATAGGTTGACTACCTCCACCAGTGAGAACAGCAGAGCTGCTCTGAAAGTCTCTTTAAATATTTTAGCTGGCAACACTGAAATAGAGTTATTCACCTTTTTGCCACTACAATGGGATAGCAGATAAATCTGCCATAGAATGAAATAAGGCTGGTCAGCAAGAATTGTTGATTTGTCTGGCTTTCTTCCAAATAAGACTTTTCTTCACTACAGACATAAACAAATCTAAATTATGCAGTGGTTGATGTAACCACATTAGCTACTTTCTACCCTACCATTACTTGAGCATTGCTGTTTAACACACTATTTTGCCCTGCCTTTAGAGCAGAAATTTTGACATGTAAAGAAGCTGTGTTGCCTCATATGGGACAATAAAGGTGAGTTCTATTTAGGCTTTGTTTACATGTTTGCATTTTGTTTTAGGTCAATTAATGCAGTATTTTTTCCAAGTAAGTCCCCAGAAAACCTTGCAACAACTAGCAAGGGAGGAAATGCTATAGTCTACATTTGGCAAAAACTCTTTCAAGTTGCCAGTTAAAACCAGGAGAGGACAGGGAGAAAGAAGGAAATCAGGTTACAGGAGAGGGTGAACTTTATTTAAAGGGATTTTTATGGATTACATTTCACTATAAAATGATGTTTGATCTTATTTATAGAGCAAGGTGACAACCCACGCGTTTAAATATTGTGAATTTACTTACAATTTATAAACTACTGTGGCTCATGTTATGTAATTCTTAAAAATATATGAGAAAAAGAAACATCATATTACATTGAATTACATAGGGAAAAATGAAATTTCATTAGAAATACAAGGACACTCAGTGCAAATAAAATTTGAGAGAGTAAATTGTGATAGTTACTGCCAAGCACCACATCATACTTAATTCAAGCATTTATTCCTCTCACACTGCCTTTAGTCCATATCCTAAAACAAACAACTTACTCCACTAGGTTAAGTCTGATTTTGTACATCCTGCAATTGACTGACTCATTTAACCTCACTATTAGGCACCCCACCCCAGAGTGGAACCTAGAACTCTTGAGTGAAGAGTCTATAGAATTCACTGTACAATGCATTGGGAGCAGTACTATGGCAAGGAAGTTTGGTGCCCAGGATAATGCCCACAGTAGCAGCCTGTCCTTGCCCCATGCACAGATTCTGGGGGCACATGTCCCCCCATACTTGCCCGGGAGTGCATGCAGTGGCAGGAACTGCCCTCCCTCTGTCCCTATGTCCCACCAAATGAGCTGCTCACAACTCCATCCTGTGTCCTGCCCCAGCTGGGTAGTGCCTTTTGGTGTCCCTTTGCTTCAGCACCTGGGGCAGTCACCCCACTCCCCCACCCCCACCCTTGCTACAGCACTAATGGGGATAGTGAGACTCCCAAGAGCATTCTGAAAAAGCAAGCACGTAAGTCAGCACTTTGAGCTAGAAGTGTAACCATTCACCAGTGCCCCCTTTCCCCAGGGACACTGCAATGCTTATAATCCTCATACAGACCAGGTCTCTCAGCTTCCCTGACAAGCTCTGATGTTAATTCAGTAATGTGGTTAGTAGAGAAGAGTGATTCTTGCTCACAGGGATGTAGCACCTTTGCAACCAAGCCTCTATTGCAATCAAGCCGACTCTGGGTCCTCTTTGCTTAGGCCTCCTATGGCTTCTTAATAGCCAGTCTTCCCATTGCAATGTCCTTTAAGTTTCCTGGAGGAGCAGGTGAGGGAACTCCAGGAGACAGTGAGCAGGCTGAGGGGTATCAAGGAGGATGAGGCTGTGATCGACAGGTATTTCCATTCCTTACAGCTCCAGATGCCTATAGGTGGAACCCCACGAGAGGAATCTTCAGCAGAGTAGAAAACTGTCACCTCTGGACCCAGGGTCCAGCATCTACTTCCCCATTGTGTCTGTGGAACAGGTACAGGGCCATGGCAGCCTTGGTGGAGGAGGCAGGAGAGGAGGATGCAGAGGAGGTGGTCCCTGCAACCCCTGCTGGGCAGGCTGGGGGACCATTGCCCAGGCAGAAGAAGAAACACCGGGTTATTGTGGTGGGTGATTCAATCCTGACAGGCACGGAGGGGCCGATCTGCTAAGCAGATCCTACGGCAAGAGATTCCTGCATGCCTGGAGCAAAGATCAGTGACATCACTGAAAGGATTCCTGATCTTATCAAGCCCTCCAACTACTACCCCATGGTCCTTGTCCATGTGAGCATAAATGATGCGGCTGAAAGTAGTCCTGACCACATCATGAAGACTTCCATGAGCTGGGGGTCAGGCTCAGGAAGACGGGAGCACAGGTGGTATTTTCCTCCATCCTTCCAGTTGACAGAAGCCAGAGGCGCCAGAGGCATCAGGGTAGTCAACTGGTGGCTCCAGAGATGGTGTCTTCAGGAGGGATTCGGATTCTACAACCATAATCAGCACTTCCAGGGAGGAGGCTACCTGGGAAGGGATGATCTTCATCTCTCTCCTAGAGGTAAGCATCTGTTCTCCCGCAGGTTGGCTGATCTCCTCCAAAGAGCCTTAAACTAGGTTTGATGGGGGATGGGGAATCAGTGGTTGATGAGAACCCAGGGTTGGCAAACCACAAACAAGGCACTGGACCTAACCAGGTAAGCGCTAAAGGGCACACTAAGCATCCAAGCAAAGAGGCACCAAGAGCACTTAATGGGGGGCCTAAAATGTCTTTACACAAATGTCAGGAGTATGGGGAATAAGCAGGAGGAGCTCATACTCTTACTTGCTAGCACACAGTTTGACCTAGTCAGCTTAACTGAAACGTGGTGGGATTCTATGCACGAATGGGCAGTAGACACTGAGAGATACAGGTTGTATAGACGGGACAGAGTGGGAAAAAAGGCAGGGGTGTAGCTCTCTATGTTAGGGAGCAGTACACATCTTCCATCTTCAAGGAGGGGGTAGAGGAGGGGAATACCAAGGCATTGTGGGTCAGGATCCAGGGAGAGGCAGGGGAAAAGGACTTGGTTGTGGGGGTCTACTATAGACTTCCTCATCAGAATGATGAGCTAGACAAGGTATTCTCCAGGCAGCTCTCAGAGGCTATTCAGGCAAGGGAGGCAGTGGTCATGGGGGATGTAAATTACCTGGCCATCTGCTGGGAGGAGCAGACAGCGAAAACAAACCACTCATCTAGGTTCTTACACTGCATGCAGGACTTCCACCTAACCCAGGTGGTAGCCAGTCCCACCAGGGATAGCGCCTTGCTAGATCTGGTCTTAGCAACAGGTGATGATCTCGTAGGGAACCTGCAAGTACACAGAAACCTGGGAGATAGTGACCATCACTTGGTAGAGTTCACTAACCAGCGAAAGGGGGGGAAAAATATCCAGTGAGGCTAAAGTGTTAGACTTCAGAAGGGCCAACTTTAGTAAACTTAGAAGGCTAGTTAGTGAGGTGGCTGAACTCAAGAGTATTGAGCAAATGGGGTCCAGAAGGGTTAGAGGTTTCTCAAGGGAGTGATCCTTGGGGCACAAAAGGAATCTATCTCCTTATGCAGGAAAGGGGATAAGGGGATAAAAAGCCACCTTGGCTGAACAGTGAACTCCAGTAAAGACTGGGGCAAAGAAAGAGATTTATAGGTAGTGGAAGCAGGGGGCAGCCACCAAGGAGGAATACACCTCCCTGGCACACTATTGCAGGGAATCAGTTAGGCAGGCCAAGGCAGGACTGGAGCTTACGCTGGCTTCAACAATTAAGGACAATAAAAAGTCCTTCTACAGATACATAGTGAGCAAAAAGAAGGTGCACAGTAACATTGGGCCCCTTCAGGACAAATCAGGATAGTTGGTGGTTGACGCAAGGAAAAAGGCACAGCTCTTCAATGAGTTCTTTCTTTGCTTCAGTATTCTTAAGCCCTGACCAAGACAATTCCCCCACCTTGAGCATAGACAGATGTCCAAAAAGCACCAGATCGCCAAAGGTTAGTGCTGACTTAGTTAATGGGTGCACTTGGTAGCCGTGTTGGTCTGAGACAAAAAGACATATAGAAAACTAGAACTCTTGGTTCTAATATTATACTTTTTATTAAACCAACTGGAAAATGGCAAGAAAATTGTCCTTTTCTGCAAACTTTCGGGATCAAAGTCCCTTTGTCAGGCTCTGGGAAAAGTGTAGATTGTACAAGATGGTAATAAGTCCAGGGAAGGAATTCTACCTGATCAACACAACAAAGAGCTACTCAACACAGCTCACAAAGACACTCTCATGGACCTAGAGGAACAGACTTCCATCTTCAGCTCCCTCTGTGCAAAAATGAAGTTTATTTCCTATCTATGGGAACTTTTTACCATATTGTACCATCTTACTTCTATGCCTGGGAAAATACTGGAAAAAATCATCAAAGAGCGCCTTTGTGAAGGCCCAGCAAGGGAAACGATGCTGAAAGGAAACCAGCATGGGTTTGTCACAGATAGATCCTGCCTGACAAACCTTATAGCTTTTTATGACCAGGTCACACATTGTCTTGATACAGGAGCTGGGGCTGGTGTCATCTACCTGGATTTTAAGAAGGCCGTCGACACAGTTTCGCATCCTATTCTCATAGGGAAGCTAGCAGGCTGTTGAGTGGACACTTACACAGTCAGGTGGGTGGCCAACTGGCTTAGGGACCGCACCCAGAGAGTGGTGGTGGACGGTTCTTTTTTGGCCTGGAAGGAGGTGGGCAGTGGGGTCGTACAGGGTTCGGTCCTTGGCTCGGTTTTATTTAATATCTTCATCAACAATTCAGACAAGGATGTGGAGATCACCCTCTCCAAGTTCGCAGATGATACCGTGTCATGGGGCAAAGTTAACACACTGAAGGGCAGGGAGTAGATACAGGCTGATCTGGACAGGTTGGATGGGCAGAACGAAACAGGATGCAATTCAAAAACATAAATGTAAGGTACTCCACCTAGGGAGGAGCACACCTCTAGGTTGGGGGAAGACCTCCTCAGCAGCTCAGTGGCTGAGAGGGATCTTGGAGTCATAGTTGACTCCAAGGTGAACATGAGCCAGCAGTGTAATGAGGCCATCAACAAGGCCAATCACAACCTGTCATGCATTAGCAGATGTAGGACCAACAGATCGAGGAAGGTGATGTTCCCCCTCTTTTTGGCATTGGTCAGGCCACAGTTGGAGTACTAGTTTTGGGCGCAGCACTTCAAGAGGGACACGGAGAATCTGGAGAGGTTTCAGAGGAGGGCCACTCTCATGATTAATGACCTCCGTGAAAGACCCCATGAGGGGAGGTCTGGATCTCTATAGCCTTCACAAGAGACAGCTGAGGGGAGATCTTATAGACGCCTATAAGTTTATCAAGGGGGGACAACGGGGAATTGGAGAAGCTCTATTTACCAGAGCCCCCCTAGGAGTAACTAGGAGTAATGGGTACAAACTAGTGGAGAGTAGATTCAGGTTAGACATTAGGAAGACATTTTTTTACAGTAAGGGTGGCAAGAATCTGGAATGGGCTTCTAAGAGAGGTGGTATTATCACTTAACTTGGAGGTCTTCAAGAGGAGGCTTCATAGTCACCTGGCTGGGATCATCTGACCTCAGTCCTGTTTCTGGGCAAGGGGTCAAACATGATGATCCTTTCTGGTCCCTTCTGATTCTACAATCAATGAATCATCCCCTTTGGATTCATTTTAGTCTATTTCTCCTACTCAAGGTCTTGTTACACATTAATTTTAGATGGTTGCTAGGTCTCTTAACCCCTGGATTGTCCATATGTTAATACCTGAAACTAGCTTTAAGCATACTTCAGGTGACCACTCCAGGGCAAATTCATTTCTGATATGCGTTAACCCAGCTCATGTTCCATTAATGGGTAGATATTCCTAAAAGATTAGCCACCCAAGTTGTAGTCCTCTGGTATCTGCAGACAGAGTGTTCCCTCCCCAACCTTCCTATTCTATGTGGACAAACATTTGAGCCCCTGAACCCTACTGCCCAGGGTCAATCTTCCACGCTTAGGAGTGCAGCCCTGTGCAAGCAGCCTGCAGAGCACATGCCAGCTTGCAGCATACTGATGGGTCCAGAAGTGGGGTCTAGGGGTTTTGAGGCAGGGAAACAAGGTAGAGGGTTGGACTGGGTCCCCATGGGCTGGGACTTCCTTCCCACGGCAGGACAGTAGCCCCCTCTCACTGCTCCCACCTCCCAGCCACCCTGGGAAGTACAACCAGCACTCCCAAAATCCCAATCTTAAATCTCAAATATGAGACCTTCTTTAATTCACCTCTTTATTTTGATTTTTTTTTTACTTTATTATTTTCCTTCAGTGGCTGACTGATTTCATTTCACCACCCTTCCCCTGTATATATGGGGTATATAATATTGATAAAATATCAAACAGATATCCATTCTGAAATTTCATATTTATCTAAATCTATTTTCTTATATTAATATCCCCTTTCTTATATATCTCAGCTCTCTTAAAACCATTAAAACACTCAAGGCTCTTTTATCCAGATAATCTACAAACACCTCCAATTAAAAAGAGAGAGAGAAAGAAGCAACAGTGTAAAAAAATACATAAATAAGAAGCATCTCACCACTAGGATGGTATACTAATCACATCGCTCCAATGATAAAAATAGACATTTCTATTTTTATACACAAAAGTAAAATTCAGGTTAATAAATACAGACTTTATATGCAGTACATCTTTATCTATATAGCCAAGATAAAAAGTAACAAGTCCCATGCACAGGAAGGAACCCTAAAAATCTAATAACTTAGTCCTGTCCATAGAGTGTGTCTAGGAACATACACTGTACATCTCCCTTAAACTTATATGTAAAACAATAACATAGTAGGTGGAAGTTTACCACTAACTTTAGCCAGTCGAACTCCATTCAAGGATTATGATTGTTCTCGTGCAAGAGAGCAGTGAATTTGGTCCATCAGATTCAAATCTCATTCTACAATGGCAGTGTAAGTAAGGTGGATCTCTGGGTAAAAAAATTAAGACAACCCTGGGGGAGGACATTTTGACATCTTCAGTAAGCAATATCTTTCTCAAACAGTCCCTTTAAGTTCAATAAGTATATTCACAAAGAAAGGACCACTAAACATCAGTACAGGAATTACAATGTGTCCTAGAGATATTCTGAAAGGCCCCAATCTTTGCCTTCCATGAATTCAAAAAGAGCATGAGAAAATTCACAAGTTTAATACAAAATTAAAACATAACATAACCAGATAAAGTTTCAGTCACAGAAATGTTTATAGTTAAACCATGTTTAAACTGAGGTCAGGAAATTAAATAACTCTGCTTCTGATCCTACTCTTAAAGACAGTTTCATGCATTTTAACTGAAAATGAGACTTAACATTTACTTTAGATTGCATACCATGCAAACATTTACATAAGCTACAGTCAGAGTCAATATCCCAAAGGCAGGGGTGGAGCTAAAGCTAAACATTATTATGTATGCAAAATATTAGAATAATATGTTCTCATTTATCTGCCATAACATAAGGAACAGTAATGGAAAGGAGATGAATAGGGAAGGAAGGTGATGAAATTTGTGAGAGCTGAATATTCTTGTCTAATTAATAAACACTTTACATTGATTCCATATATTGTGACAGGGATTCTAAATATCTTTAAATATTTTTTTATGTTATCTGGCTGGCTGTATGTCATTTGTTAGTAGCAATATCTGGCTAATGCTACCATCTATTCTTTAAGTGAGGGGGGGAAAGTTCCTCAAGCATCTTTGAATTAGTTTTGATAGGTGATTTTATCTTAATCCAGTTAACTTCTTCTTTGGAAGGTGTACTCAGTATAGTTATATCTCCTTGTAAATCTGAACTCTTAACTCATTCCTCTTCTGTGACTCTTGCTTACAATAACTGTTTCCAAGTCCAGTAATGTAACTTGGGCTGGGGAAGCAAGGCACCAGGCCCAAGCACCAACATCATACCCACCCCACCCAACACAGACTCCACATCCTAGCAGGAAAAGCAGCCCCACAGTGCTGCTTTTGCAGCACTAGCCACAAGCATGGATACCATGCCGCTGCTATAGGAGCAACAGCAGGGACAGGCAGACCATGCTGCAGCTATGGCCACACCTACAGGAGCATACAGCAGCATACAGGTACTATTTTGAATTCCTGACTTGGGTAAATTTTCCCTCCCCTTCCCCTCCCTCCCCATGGATGTCCAAATGCCCATCCCTTCAGCACTCAGCAGCACCTCCCCAACTCCCGCCCCCACTCCCTGCTCTCCTATAAGGTTTGCCCAGGGCACAAACCCTGATCGTTACACCTCTGAGTCCAAAAATATGAGTAAATATCCTGGGTTATAGGAAACATTGCCATCAATAATAGAACATAGCAAATTAAAGATGCTACTGTATTAGAATTAAGCCTGCTTCTTTTTTTATCTTTATCTGTATTGGAACAACATGAACTTCAGCTGCAAAGCTCTCAAAATAAGAATGTTTTGAAAATTTTGTGTTTTATGCATTCATTAGAAATTTATCATTCAAATTTGCAATGTTGACCTAGTCATGGAACATCGGAAATTAAAAACATACCCCCAGGCTTATGTTCTATCCTTGTCACATGACAAGGGTATCAAATTTACAAAGTACAGTAAAATTCACTACCTATAGTACAGTAGCAACTATTGTGGGTAGGTCTCCGGCTATTTCAGCTGTACAACTGGCCAAGGAAAAATGCCAAGAAACTTTAGATTTAAAATTTAGTACCTATTCTCTTCTGAAGCAAAAGTAGCTGGTTTTCTCCTAACAAAAACAAACTTAAAAATTCCCTAAATGTACTGTAAAATAAAAGGAAAACCTGGAAACTTTCAAGCAGAGTTTTTAAAATGGAAAACACACAACAGGAAAACTAGTGGTTATTCAGGGATGGGTTAATCCTTTAGTGGGCCCTAGGCAAACAAACTTGTGGGCCCCTACTTAATACTGTATTTTTATATTACTTTTTTCACTCAATAATTATAATATGTAAAATAAGCATAACTGGGCCCCTTCTTCACTTAGGGCCCTAGGCATGTGCCAAGTTTGTCTATGTGTTAATCCAGCACTGTGACTAGCAATTAGCAACACACTATTGTAAAGGGAACTCAGTAATATACCACAGTGATAACACTGAAACTATGTATTCAGCTGGAGTTAAATCATAGAAAATTCAGGCTGTGATGAAGATAATTATCCAACCTTCTCAAGTCCCACAGAAAGTTTCTTGCTACAAAACTGGAGATGAGAAAATTCTTTCCATTTCAGCCACCCCATTTTCCCTACTAGTGCCACCAGAATTACCTGGGTTTTCATTTCTGAATGTTACCACGGAGTCAACTTCAGTAGATAAATCCAGATATTCAGTCTGGACTTCCATTGATGGAAAGATGTCTCCCTTTATGAAGAATTGCTTCTTCCCCATAGCTAGACCTGAGCTCCACCCTGTGTGGTCCCTAATGGACTCTGAGGGAGAAGCTGGGTACTCTGGGGCTCAGGAAATCAACACTTAGGAAATCAACATTCACTAGCTGCTGGAAAAATCCACTCCAAAAGACAGTGTGTCACTAATATCAATTCACTTCAAAAGCTTTGTGCCAAAATGTGGTCATGATCCCAAGCTCACTGAAGCCAATGGAAAACAGTGACCACATTAGCTCACTGCAGCTGAGCTCCAGCTGGCAGCAGGAAAGTACTACTTGTGGAATCCCCTTAGGATGCGTATTTAACCTTGGGTTGTGAGAAGCGTCTAATCCAGGGGTGGGCCAAATATGACCCACGGCCCAGATTCGATCTGCCAGGCAGTTGCATCCAGCCTGGAGGGCCCCTTCCTGAGTCCTCCATAAACCCTGGCCCTTCTGCAAGCTGGTAGGTTGCCACAGGAGGTGCAGCTCTGCTTGCTAAGCAAACACTCCCTGCCCCAGCCTGGCCTGACTCACCCCAGCTCCGAGCCAGGTGGCTCTAGAGACAAGAAGCCTCTGCCTGGCAGAGTTTGTGCCTGGTCACCCCAAGGCTGCTCCCTGCCTCCCTGCCTGCAAGACTGGGAATTTAAATAAGGGCCCCACCAGGCCAGGACCAGGGACTCCCACTGGGGGAAAGGGAGTGGGACAGCAGGGAGCCATGTGCTATGGGGCTGGGTCAGGCTGGCCCTGCATGCTGCTGCCATGTGCAACCAGGGACTTGGGTGGGAGCTGCGTGTTATGTGGTTGTGTTACAGAGCCCCACCCATAATGCACAGGTCCTGCACTCCTGCTCAAGTCCCCAGCTGCATATAGTGGCAGCATAAAGCACCAACCCCACCCAGCCCCATAGTACACAGCTCTTGCAGTGAGGCCAGCCCAGCCTGGCCCCATAGTGCATGGCTCCCTACACTCTGCCA